AGTGTGGTCTCCTATTTCCTGCACTTCTTGTGACTCGCTGCAGATTCAGCAGCTGATTTCTCTGTGTTCTGCTACTGGTTAGCTTGACAGTTATGTACCTGGTAGGCATTTTCCTGGAACTGTGTTGGCAGGAAGTGAGATGGCTGTGGGTGGCTGACTCTTTCTCATTCAAGTCTTCTTCCATGCCCTACCTCATTTTCCAGCTCTACCTGATATATATCTGCAGCTCAGGCTTTGGCCAGACACTTCTTCAAGTACAGGGTCAGTCAGCTGGAGAAAAACCTGACTTAACTAAGGGGCAGCAGATGGAACACTGCTGCCAGGTGCATCAGTAGGTGTTGGACCAGTGGTGTCAGGTGTGCTACTGGGTGTAGAAGGGAAGCTGACAGATCCAAGGCTTGCTTCGGTGTTGGATAATGGATCTGTTCCCTCTGCGGTGGCTAAAGAATTTGTACTGAAATGTTCAGATGTGGTATTCTGAGCTCTGTATGCCTGTGGAATCCTAGTGTTAATAGATTCCTACCAATTTTTTGATGATGAGTTAATCTCAGTGTGTGAATTCTAGGCCTTGTCAGTAGTGTCAGCATCATCTGAGCAACCTATGTCACTGTAGTTTGAAACCAATCTAATGATTTTAGGAGCTTAAGAAGTGATTCTCCTTGATGAATTATTCTAGCTTGCAACCTTACAACACAGTCCAGTAGAGCAGTGTTGTTTATTCCAGTGGAGTCCCTAAGGCACCTGTGTGACAGTAATTAGAACAAGTGGGCTCCAGGCACTTAACATGTGCCAGGCCTCCATTTGTGTAACCACAAACATTGCAGTAGGTTGTGGGACAATAACCAGATAGTGAAGTTAATCTTGCTGTTTCATGATGCAAAGCCCACCCTCCCCTCCCCTTCACTCTTTCTTCGAACTCCCTTCCCTTCCCTTCCCTACTTGTAGAGGAGGCAACAAGGAGACAAATCAGTCTACATCTGGTAAATTCATTATCATCTGTGGGTATCTTGGCATTCAGCTGTTCAGAGAAAATTCAGTGTCTCTAATGCTACAAAAGAAAGCAGTCTGCAGCTATGTGACTGCAGATTGTTGCAAAAAGGTATCTATGATTCCTCGGATTACCTTCCTGGTAACAAGTCAGCAGGTGATAACCACCTAATTTAGGTATAAATTGTATTTTATGCTACTTGCCAATCTGTATTACTGCCTGAAGAGGACCAATATCATGGAGGGGTTGCAAAGTTCTTTGACAAGAAAAAGTTAAAAGAGGCAGTAAACATTAACACAAGCTAATGAATTCAATGAATACTCTCTCTTAATACCAGAAAATCAACTTTCCTTGCTTATCCACTATTTGAGCTTAACCCTTTGAGGGGTTGAGACCTCTGCTTGCAAACTTGCTCCATCTATCATGAAATGATAGAGAATCTTTTTCCAAAGTTAATGAAACCAAAAGCATGAACTCTGATGGAAAACTTACGAAATTATGCTCTCGGCAATATTTACACATCGGTGATTTCTCCCACTTTGAGCCCTATTTTGGGCCAATTCTGTTGTTCCAGTCAATCAAACTCATAGCTGTTTAGCTAGAACCCCCTTTATTCTACCGATTGAGTACAAGAAACTGCCCATTTACCTATTTCAACTACCCAATAAAGTGATCACAAATTTCTAACTTGGCCAATTTCACACAAAATTCAAGAAAGGCCAATTTCAAAACAGGGTCCAGAATAAATAATGTAGACATTCCTGGCACTAAAATAACATTTTCTATGTTGATTAGTCACATCTCCAGGCCCTTCTTATATTACACTTGCTTTACATTTTGAATTTTTATTCACATGAAAATTAGATCTACTGTTATTCAGATTACTGCATAATGGTAATAATTATATAAATAATGTCAGTGCAGAGTGTTAGAGTGTTAGGGTGTTCAGCAGAAGTTTGTGGTTACAGGAAAGTGGGTGCGGGAGGGAAGAGGAGCGATTGGTGGAATGATGATGTAAAGAGAGTAGTAAGGGAGAAAAAGTTAGCATATGAGAAGTTTTTACAAAGTAGAAGTGATGCAAGGAGGGAAGAGTATATGGAGAAAAAGAGAGAGGTTAAGAGAGTGGTGAAGCAATGTAAAAAGAGAGCAAATGAGAGAGTGGGTGAGATGTTATCAACAAATTTTGTTGAAAATAAGAAAAAGTTTTGGAGTGAGATTAACAAGTTAAGAAAGCCTAGAGAACAAATGGATTTGTCAGTTAAAAATAGGAGAGGAGAGTTATTAAATGGAGAGTTAGAGGTATTGGGAAGATGGAGGGAATATTTTGAGGAATTGTTAAATGTTGATGAAGATAGGGAAGCTGTGATTTCGTGTATAGGACAAGGAGGAATAACATCTTGTAGGAGTGAGGAAGACCCAGTTGTGAGTGTGGGGGAAGTTCGTGAGGCAGTAGGTAAAATGAAAGGGGGTAAGGCAGCCGGGATTGATGGGATAAAGGTAGAAATGTTAAAAGCAGGTGGGGATATAGTTTTGGAGTGGTTGGTGCAATTATTTAATAAATGTATGGAAGAGGGTAAGGTACCTAGGGATTGGCAGAGAGCATGCATAGTTCCTTTGTATAAAGGCAAAGGGGATAAAAGAAAGTGCAAAAATTATAGGGGGATAAGTCTGCTGAGTATACCTGGTAAAGTGTATGGTAGAGTTATTATTGAAAGAATTAAGAGTAAGACAGAGAATAGGATAGCAGATGAACAAGGAGGCTTTAGGAAAGGTAGGGGGTGTGTGGACCAGGTGTTTACAGTGAAACATATAAGTGAACAGTATTTAGATAAGGCTAAAGAGGTCTTTGTGGCATTTATGGATTTGGAAAAGGCGTATGACAGGGTGGATAGGGGGGCAATGTGGCAGATGTTGCAAGTGTATGGTGTAGGAGGTAGGTTACTGAAAGCAGTGAAGAGTTTTTACGAGGATAGTGAGGCTCAAGTTAGAGTATGTAGGAAAGAGGGAAATTATTTCCCAGTAAAAGTAGGCCTTAGACAAGGATGTGTGATGTCACCGTGGTTGTTTAATATATTTATAGATGGGGTTGTAAGAGAAGTAAATGCGAGGGTCTTGACAAGAGGCGTGGAGTTAAAAGATAAAGAATCACACACAAAGTGGGAGTTGTCACAGCTGCTCTTTGCTGATGACACTGTGCTCTTGGGAGATTCTGAAGAGAAGCTGCAGAGATTGGTAGATGAATTTGGTAGGGTGTGCAAAAGAAGAAAATTAAAGGTGAATACAGGAAAGAGTAAGGTTATGAGGATAACAAAAAGATTAGGTGATGAAAGATTGAATATCAGATTGGAGGGAGAGTGTATGGAGGAGGTGAATGTATTCAGATATTTGGGAGTGGACGTGTCAGCGGATGGGTCTATGAAAGATGAGGTGAATCATAGAATTGATGAGGGAAAAAGAGTGAGTGGTGCACTTAGGAGTCTGTGGAGACAAAGAACTTTGTCCTTGGAGGCAAAGAGGGGAATGTATGAGAGTATAGTTTTACCAACGCTCTTATATGGGTGTGAAGCATGGGTGATGAATGTTGCAGCGAGGAGAAGGCTGGAGGCAGTGGAGATGTCATGTCTGAGGGCAATGTGTGGTGTGAATATTATGCAGAGAATTCGTAGTTTGGAAGTTAGGAAGAGGTGCGGGATTACCAAAACTGTTGTCCAGAGGGCTGAGGAAGGGTTGTTGAGGTGGTTCGGACATGTAGAGAGAATGGAGCGAAACAGAATGACTTCAAGAGTGTATCAGTCTGTAGTGGAAGGAAGGTGGGGTAGGGGTCGGCCTAGGAAAGGTTGGAGAGAGGGGGTAAAGGAGGTTTTGTGTGCGAGGGGCTTGGACTTCCAGCAGGTATGCGTGAGCGTGTTTGATAGGAGTGAATGGAGACAAATGGTTTTTAATACTTGACGTGCTGTTGGAGTGTGAGCAAAGTAACATTTATGAAGGGGTTTAGGGAAACCGGCAGGCCGGACTTGAGTCCTGGAGATGGGAAGTACAGTGCCTGCACTCTGAAGGAGGGGTGTTAATGTTGCAGTTTAAAAACTGTAGTGTAAAGCACCCTTCTGGCAAGACAGTGATGGAGTGAATGATGGTGAAAGTTTTTCTTTTTCGGGCCACCCTGCCTTGGTGGGAATTGGCCAGTGTGATGATAATAATAAAAAAAAAAATGTCAGTGCATTTGTGAGTGCATATCAGACTGGCCAGTTGAGGTGTATTGGATGCATGATGTGCTTGTTTACTCTTGAACATTGGCAAAAATCTAACATTTTCACTACTTTGAGCTCAATTTCAAACTACTTTGAGTCTGTAAACATTCAAAATCATCTCAATTTCTGTAATATATCATCCATTCTATCAAAAGAGACCAATAGACAGCGAATACAACCATTAAAACCATACAAAAATATACTGCAAATTCACTGTTTTACACTAAAAACATGGTCAGTTTTTTCTCATGCATTGTGTCCTGCAGGATTTTTTTTTATACTATGCACACTGACCATGCAGACCCATTCTCTCATATGTAGGCCTACCAGCTTTCTCCTGCAAGATTGGAAGCCACTAAAATTTTGGTATAGTATTGCTGTATAGCCCTTGTGGCTTAGCGCTTCTTTTTGATTATAATAATAATAATAATAATAATTGGTATAGTATTAAGGAACCGACCCTGGCTTCAAAGCCATAATATTACGGGACCGACCCCATAAGGGTTAATATATTGAGTATCAAAGGAACCAAAAGAGGCATTTCCATGAACAATTAGGCCTCCCAGGTATTCAGAAAGGTCCAATATTGTAAGAGATCACGGGACAGTCACCATATATAAATGATAAATTTTGAAATACCCAAGATGATAGGTTTGATTTATGTACTAAATGTAGACCCCCTACTATGGATTTCTGTACTGATGTCACCCAACATTCTTATTTAAATAAAAGTTCTTAAAATTGCAATCTAATACAATGCAAACCTTAACATCAATCCAGGTTTCTGAGAAGAGAGGTGGACGGCCATTGTCATACACTCGGATCTGAAGGCGGTAGTGCCCTTGTACTTTATGATTAAACTTTGTAGCTGTCCGCAGGTGTCCATCTTGAGTAATTCTAAAGGCTGTGTTATCATTACCAGATCTTATTTCAAATGTAAATGGACCACCATTGTGTGCTGCATCATCATCACCATCAATGACATCAAATTTAAACACAAGATGATTCACTGGTTTGTCCTCCTGAAAATTTTAGTAAAAATAATGTAAAGCATTTACAAAAACATATATACATACCATACATACATACAACAATTTGACAATTAAAGGTATAAAAAAGTGGTCAAATTGTCACACCTATGAAAACTGTAACCCAGGTTAAATTCAGGACTTGAGTCCTGGAAATGGGAAGTACAATGCCTGCACTTCAAAGGAGGGGTTTGGGATGTTAGGTAAGACACATATGCAACAGTTAGGTATCTTTATTTCGAAACATTTCGCCTACACAGTAGGCTTCTTCAGTCGAGTACAGCAAAGTTGATAGAAGCAGAAGAGACTGCATATGTGTCTTACCTAACAACTTGTCGGTATTTTATACCATTTTATTGTTCATTCAGGGGTTTGGGATATTGGCAGTTTGGAGGGATATGTTGTGTATCTTTATACGTATATGCTTCTAAACTGTTGTATTCTGAGCACCTCTGCAAAAACAGTGATTATGTAGGAGTGAGGTGAAAATGTTGAATGATGATGAAAGTATTTTCTTTTTTGGGATTTTCTTTTTTGGGAATTTTCTTTTTTTGGGTATACACAAATAATCCGTACAAAGGAGAGTGAAACTTATGACGAGGTTTCGGTCCAACTTGGACCAAAACCTCGTCATAATTCACATAGTTGTTATGGGGCTATAGGACCCAACATGTATTTATGTATCTGTAACAGTTACTCTGGAATACCTAATTATATTGAATTGATGGTGACTCAGCTCTAAATGTCATAAGGGCAGATCACTCTTATGGCTGTAAGGCAGCTGAGTCAATCCTGTTTTTCTCAATGTAATAGGTTATACTATAGACACACACACACACAATTTAAGTAAGTAGTTTATAAAGTTGTATTTCTTTTTGTAAAAGTAAAATTAAGGTGTGGTAGAATTGTGGTAACTGGAGAATTGGGCTTGGCAACAGTCTTTTGTTTTTTTGGTGGGTGTGGGAGGAGCTTAGCTAGGCCCCTCCCTCTCTCTCACTTTTTTGTTGACTTCAAACTGGGAGCACCTCTGGGTCCTTCTTCTATTTTTTGGGGGGGCATTATGTGTGCTCCAGGGGTGAGTTTTTATAACTTAAGTTGTGGCCATCATACCCAGGGTGACTAAAGTGTGTCAAAACACTGGTTAGCCCAGAGTTTAGTCAAGAAGAGAGAAGGGCATTGTTGAGATGCACCATGTGGACTGTCCTAGGAGAACAGCTAAGGGGTATACAGGCTTATGTTTTGAATATGTGAGTGCTGTAATTGCATATTCTGTACATATCTATTTAGAATGCAGCTATATTTTTATAGTAGTGGTTTAAATGACCTGTGAAGAGGGCTGGTGAAAGGATCAGAGACACTGAGGATGATCAGTCATAATGTAAATATTACCCAAGACATAAGGCCTTTATGTAAAAGCTACCCCACACTAGAACATGTAGTGAGAACCTTACTGTCAAAGTATAAGGGATAACAACATAACGTAACAGTAGTATACTTCAGAAGTGATTAACATACACGTCCTACAGTTAAGTGTATCTGCTGCTTACTGTGATATTTGAATAAGCACTGATTACTTTAAGCATATCAAATAATGACTTTCTGATGGCTACAGGCAGCTGTGCATCATTAATGTTGGCACCAGAAGTTTTTGAGAAAAAATTAGTTTCTATACTAAATTGTAAATCTTGACTGAATATCATTAGGGCAATCAGTAAGTGATCTACCAGCTCTTTCTTCAGTCTTTTTGTGACATTACTTGTTCCTCACTGTATATAGATCACTTTCCTCAATACAGTACTAGAGGAATACTTTGCCCTAACACTTATTCTGTTACCAGAGCTGGACAAATCCTGACTGCATTGGTGAGCTGTCAGGGAAAGACTAATTTCAACTGGACAACAAGGAGGAAACTTACATGAATGGCTTCTGATGGGGAACTGGAGCTCTATTGTCACAGCCCTTACTGACTTGGAAGCAGAAAGTCAGTCTAGTATTAAATAATGGAAGGTGGCATAACTGGTGAAAATAGTAGTAGGGAAGCTTGACATTGTTAATTTAGGGGTAGGATTGGTTGGGAAGGATTCTTTTAATGGTTCATAAGAACCATTAAACAGAAATAGGGAAATAAGTAGGTAATTACAGTACAGTACTTCTGGTCTTCATATAACATTTATATTTCTTGCATAATTAATTTACTTAAATAATAAAGAGTAATTATTACATACCTGAACATATGCCGTGTGATTTGTTTCTACAAACACAGGTGGATTATCATTTGCATCACTCACTTCAATATTCACCATGACTGACCCTGACCTCTGAGGGATGCCTTGATCCAAAGCAATTACTTCAAGGTTATAAGAGGCAATGGACTCCCTGTCTAGGGGACCTGCCACCGACACCCAACCCGATAGCTGGTCAATACGGAATTGATGATTAGGATCTCCATTAGCAATGCCATAGGTAATTCTACCATTTGCCAGGCTGTCCAAATCAGTTGCTACCACCTGGATGAAACATATATGTATTTAGTAATAGTGTCCATTAATATTTAAACAACTGGTTCCTAACTAGGTGATCTTTTACAAGTATGTAAAACCACTTGAGACCGTATATATATGCAATACATTAATTACTGCCTTAATTACTGGCTTAAGTTTGCCCGAAATGCTCTGCATACCAAGGGCTTTCTGCATGCACACCTAGATGTCACCCATCTCTGTACAAACACTATATCATCATCTTTCTTTCAACAAACCAGCTGTATCCCACCAAGGCAGGGTGGCCCAAAAGGTAAAATGAAAGTTTCTCCTTTTAAATTTAGTAATGTATACAGGAGAGGGGGTTACTAGCCCCTTGCTCCCAGCATTTTAGTTGCCTAAACATTGTATCATATTGAAATAAAGAATCTTTAAACTTTAATCATTTATCTTTAACTTAAGAATATTCAAGCAAATGTCTATAACTATTTAATGTACCACTCTGATGTTAATTAACTCTAGAATGTATAATATGATAAATCTTACATTCTGATATCTCTATAAAAAAAATTAAATAATTAAAAATATACTGCATCATAAACTAGTGCAGGCTTTACATCATAACATATGTCAAACTGAAGTAAAATAGACTTTAGCAATCATTCTCAAACGTTTTTTCATTACACATCTCCTATTTCCCACCAAAGCAAAATCTTCTTCTTTCAGCAAACTGGCCGTATCCCCCCCCCCCCAAAAAAAAATGAAAGTTTCTTGTTTTAACTAATAATGTTACAGGAGAAGGGGTTACTAGCCCCCTTGCTCCTGGCATTTTAGTCGCCTCTTATGACACGCATGGCTTATGGAGGAAGAATTCTGTTCCACTTCCCCATGGAGAAATAAATAATACATTCAGCAATGCTACCCCCTTGCTGGTTTTCGAACAGATCACAGATATCCTAGTTCAGTAATGAACAACAGCACATATCCCAGAGACAACTCATTTCCACTTGATTCAAATTACAATTTTCATGTGTGACTGCTGTGTGTTTAAGTCCTGAATTTCACTGTCTCTTTCCAACCCTTCTCCAAACATGCTTGCACCTTCCATCTATACCAAGCTTCAATATTCCTTCATGGGGGTTGTACATAGTTATAGTGATGACAAAAAAATTACCAAATGATGTAGAAAATTTTCAAGGAGTATCAGAGTTATTTAATTTCAGTATCTCAAAAAAAAAATTAATAAAGACTGCATTTATTTTTAAACTGACATTTCAAATTTAAAAAAAAAAGAAAAAAAAAAAAGGGCTGACCTAGTTTTGCCTTATAATTAGTTAGGCTCACAGAAGCTAGGATTCATCCCATCTCCTCAAAGGTGCATAGTCCCAGCTACTCATCCAAGGACCCAAATCTTCCCTTCAAGGAACTGCTGTGTGACAGTTTCATGTATCTTGACCCTGTCCTGGAGCTCATTTTTGAGGGTATTCTGCTTTAGCATTGCACTGCCCTTGCTGCCCAACTTCAGGCCAGGCTTCTTTACTGGCTACCTAGTCAACCGTTTCAGCCCCACTGATCAGGAATTTACAGGAGATAGTGATTCTTCTTGAAAACTTCTGTCTTCATTCTGACAATGTTTGATTTCTGTTGGAAATACGTTGATAAGCCTTGGGCCATAGATGATGTACTCATGACACCTGGTTTTCGCTGGATTTATTGTACGGTACATTTTCTTTCATATCTCTTGCTCCAGTAAATCATTATCGCATATCTAAAATATGTATATTACCAGGTATTTCTCTTCTCCATCCCAAAGAGAACAATTCAAGCACTTTGAGCATTCCCAGTAGTTCAGATGTTTTACTGTTTCTATGTGGACCTTTGTACATTTTCCAGATCTACAATCACTTCTGCCTTGAAATTCACTGTGAGCATAGATGTAGCCCCCCCAAATTATTTCCCAAACCAGGGATCAGAGGCACATCTGACATTTACAAGACATTCATTAATGCAGCAGCTTGTTCTTAGGAGTCACAAGGCACTTATTATATTACAAATGGTATACAATACCAACAAATTCATGGGTAAGACACATGTGCAACACAAGGTATCTTTACTGATATATTTTGCCTGCACTGAAATCTTCATAAGTCAAAGATGGACACAAATTACAATCCTGGAGACAGTAGATAAAGCGGAAAGGTAGTTTCAGGAAATCAGTTCCTCATCTCTGTATTTTACTGATGACAACCTCAGTGCAGGCAAAAATGTTTTTCCAAAAAATATGCCCAGTGTTGCATATGTCTTGCTCATTGTCACTAGGCACTGTCAGGTTTGTATTAGAAGCAACCATACACTAGCAGTAAATAAACTTACAAAGGTTAATTTTACATTAAGACCAGTATCATATTGAGATGTTAGAGGGAAGAGGCAAGTCTCTAAAAGAATATATAGTGGGTGCTTTCTTAACCAGCCAACAATTATATGGACATCATTGTCTAGCAACCAACCTGAAAACAAATGGATAAGAGAATGGCCACAGCTGACAACCAGCATCTGACAGGGGGGCAAGATTTTTATTCCTCCTACTTCAACTAATCAAACAGTTGCACAGAGAATTAAAATCTAACTCTTGCAATTGTTCTACCTTTTCTTCTAGTTCAATAGATTATGAAAATTTGGATGATTTATTTTAGAGCAGTATAATTTTTATCCTGAAACAACAGACAAAAGAATCAATCCGATTTCCCAAAATAATCATAATAAAAAATCCATGTTTCTTGAAACTGTACCAAACAAATATAAGTCCATCATGCCTACAAGTACTAAATTTTAATACATTTGGTAATGATAGCATTGGCCTAATTTTGTAGAGACTGATACAGGTCGGCCATCACTAATCCGGCAATCGGTTATCCGGTTCTATCAATAATCCGACACTAATTTTAGCTAGCATAATTTAAAATTTCATCATTATACTGACTCAAATTTCATTATTATTCTGACTCAAAAAATTGTTCAGATGGTTGTAAATCCACAGCAGAAAGCCAGTGGAGGAGAAAGCAGTAATGAAAATCAGGAAGATGTAGCAGAAAGTCTCTCTACTGATAGAATAATTAAGTGCATTCTAACGTAACTATGCAATCTAGCACACTACAGGTCCCAATGATGCAGATTAGTGATGGCTGACATGCACTAGTTTTCTTTCCCTTATAACGCACTGTACACTTGCTAGTGTTGTTCCTAGACACACTTTTAATATTAATGCATAAAAATCTGACCCACAAACCATGAAAATTTTACTTAATATTGATTCTAAATAATTACATGGCACAATGCACCTAACTTAAATACACAATTATAAAAATCTACATTTATTAATAAAATTTTACATAATAAATAAAACTAAAAGGCCTAACAAAAAATCTTATGTATTATGGCTCGTGTAACAAACTGACCTTACTCAAGTCTCAAACTGTGTTGAATTTTAAGTAAAATGTTAACTGATATTTGTGATACTTCTACAATCCTGATGGGACTTAATTAAGGCTTCCAAGTTCTCAAGCTTGCAATATCCAATGACTCGGTGGTAACTTCTGCATCTAATGGTCATGTAGTGCAGGGGGATATCACACACAGTCCCTCATAAACAATTAAACTTAAATATACACAGAGTTACTTTAATACACTATTACTGCACCATATTTTGTTTAATTTAATGAAACAATACAATACTGCCCTTAAAACAAAAATTTAATAGAGACTCTCGCTCAGACTTAAATTACTCATGATTGGCAACATCTTGAGATGACTTTCTGGATGACCAACCATAATTCCAATGTGAATAATGTTGTTACAAGTAGCAGATATGTGTAATTTGATGTACTGTAGACTCAGGAAACCTATTATATTTCTTAACCCTTTCAGGGTCCGTGCCGTAGTTCTACAGCTTTGAGTTGAGGGTCCAAACCGTAGATCTATGCCATGAGCTCAGCTCACTCTGATAAGTTGTGAGTGGTAAATTTGGGCCTAGATATGAGAGAATACATCTATGTGGTATGTGTGCATCACATAAAACAAATCCTGCAGCACACAGAGCATAATGAGAGAAAAAAATTGAGGCTGTAATTTTCGATTAAAACAGCAACTTTACAGTGTTTTTTCATATTTTTTTATAGTTGTATTTGCAATTTCTTGGGCTCACTTGATAGAATGAAAGATATATTACAGAAATAGAGATAATTTTGATTAGTTTTAGTACTAGAAATGAATTGAAACTGAGCTGAAAGTGGAGGAAATGTTAAATTTTTGCCGATGTTCATGAGTAAACAAATGACCTCACACATCTAATACACACCAGCTGGTGGATCTAATATACATTCACAAATATGGTGATATTATTTATACAATTATTACAATAACGCATAACAGTAAATCTTCTATTTTTTGGTTTGAATAAAAATTCATTATATGAATAGAAAATCAAAATGGAATTCAATTGTAAAGCTTCAAAACATAACTAATGAACAGAGAAAATGTTAGTTTAGTGCCAGGAATGCCTGCACTGTTTATTCTGGACCCCATTTTGAAATTGGAATATTTTTACTTTGTGTTAAATTGGCCAAATTACCAATTTCCGATCGCTTTTTGTAGTTGAAACAGTTGACTTGGCGATTTCTTGTGCTCAATTGATAGAATAGAAGTAATACTAGTGAAATAGCTAAGAATTTGGTCGACTGGAATAATGTAATTGGCCTAAAATGGGAGTCAAAGTCGGCAAAATCGCCGATGCTTAAATATCGCTGACACATCAAAATTTACAAGAGTATAATTTCGTCAATTTTTCATCAAATTTCGTACTTTTTGTTTTATTACCTTCAGAAAAAGATTTTCTATCATTTCATAAGAAAAAATAACAAAAATTTTTTTTCGAAAATTCTTGGACCCTGAAATTTGGCCTCTGGACCCTGAAAGGGTGAAATGTGACAGTCTAATACAGCCTCTCCTCACTTAGTGATTTACTCGTTTACCAACGACTCGGACTTATGACAGGCTCTCTAACCAGTATGCTTACCTAAATAATGTATATTAGAGATGATTTCCTCTATTCTGTTTATTACAATATATAGTACACTACTGTATAAACATTTAAAAATATACTAAAAATTTTATAAATGGTGCAAAGGTGACATTCAAACAATATCAAAGATGGCTGACACAAACCCACTACCATTATAGTATGCTCCTTGCTTAGCAACGAATTCGTTTGCCGACATGGTTTTAAGAACAGAACTCCATCGTTAAGTAAGGAGAGGCTGTACTTAATTAAACTATGATATTTTAAGTACTTGAGGTATTTTCTTGCAATGGTATGAAATTGTCCCATTGGTACAGTCCACTTTCCACAAATAACCCACTTAGAAAAGCAAACCTGAGGCAACAGTTTCCATCCATACTGGATCATTATCAAACCATAATTATCTAGGACAGGCCAAAAAGTTAGTTTTCTCTTGCAAATGTAGGTTATTTGTGAAGTGTTCCAGCCACAGTATTGTGACTTTTATTCTTCATCATTTATTCAATAGTTCTTCCATGGGGGTGCCTTCATGCCAGAAGAAAGCTCCTGATGTGAGGGATGAGAGGAACTCTCCCCTTGCATCAAACCTGTTTACCTTAGTACCCAGGTGCTGTATGACTCCTACAGGTTTAACACTTTTTCTACTGATCTGATAATAATGATAATTTATATGGGAATGTAAACCTGCAAAAGAGTGATGGCTTTACCTGTATCAATCTCTCTCCAATGATTGCAGCTTCATTAACAATCACAGAGTAGGAATTCTGCAGAAAAATTGGCTCATTATCATTGATATCGGTAACAGTGACATTGATGGTTGCATGATTAGAGAGAGGCGGCTCACCCCCATCCGTTGCCTGAACTGTCAGCTGGTAGGAGTGTGCTCTTTCATAGTCCAGTGGGTCCAGTATAGACACTACACCTGTAAGAAAACATACAATATACAATTTTCTAATTTGAAAAAAGTTAGAGACAGTTAAATAATTACTAAATTAAAAATTAACAGATCAACTGAGTACAGTAAACCCTAAATGCAACAGACCTTGATATAATGGATATTTGAAATAATGAACAAAATCAATTTAGTAAATTGTACTTTTGACTCATTCTCAAAGTTCACTGAAGTACTTTTGTCAACTGTGCAATCAGCAGGGTCCCACTTATACGGCAGGTTAGGCTCCAGGCTACCACTGGAAAGCGGACATTGCCAGAAAGCAGAATGCCATTTTTTCCACTTTATAAATGCATATAAATGCCAGATAACAAATTTACACTAACATATATTAAGTTAGCAACAATACTAGGCATTAAAAACAATAAAAAGTAAAATACACATACAGTACACTCATTACTTACCTTAAAATATTTGCTGTCTTAATGTAGGGCGAGAGATGAATAGTATTTATTTGTAGGAAGTCAGGTGTGGGAGGTAATGGTAGCCAGCCAGGCCACCCCACCCACACGTAATATACTACGTACATTTAAAGTGCCCTAGAGCGATAAAATGCATATACAGTACACTTATTACTTACCTTAAAATATTTGTAGTCTTAATGTAGAGTGAGAGGTGAGTAAACGAGGAAAAACAAATAAACAAGAGAGAACAAGTAAATGAGAGAGAAACATGTAGTATGTAAACAACCAGACAAACGTCTGGTTTTGGTTCATACACGTTCATCTATTCTACACATAACATCTCATATTTATTCAACTGTGGGATGTATTTATCGTGCTGATATGTTACGTAGCGTGTTTATTGTATAATTTTGAAAAAATATCATGGAATAATGAAAATGTTTATATTAATGTAATATATTACATTTAACCCTTTCAGGTTCCAGAGACCAAATTTCAAAGTGTGCACCAGGGTCCAAGAATTTTCAAAAAATAATTTTGTTATTTTTTCTTATGAAATGGTCGAGAATCTTTTTCTGAAGGTAATAAAACAAAAAGTACGAAATTTGATGGAAAATTTACGAAATTATGCTCTCGCAAATTTTGATGTGTCGGCTATATTTACACATCGGCGATTTTGCTGACTTTGACTCCCATTTGAGGGCAATTACAGTATTCCAGTCAACCAAATTCTTAGCTATTTCACTAGTATTACTTCTAATCTATCGATTGAACACAAGAAATCGCCAAGTCAACTGTATCAACTACAAAATAGTGACCAGAAATTGGTAATTTGGCCAATTTAATGCAAAGTTCAAAATATTCCAATTTCAAAATAGGGTCCAGGATAAACAATGCAGGCATTCCTGGCACTAAACTAACATTTCCTCTGTTCATTAGTTACGTTTTCAGGCTTTACAAATGAGTTCCATTTTGATTTTTTATTCACATAATAAATTTTTATTCAAACCAAAAAAATAGAAGATTTACTGTTATGCAATACTGTAATAATTGTATAAATAATATCACCACATTTTTGAATGTATATCAGACCCACCAGCTGTCATGTATTAGACTTGTGAAGTCATTTGTTTACTCTTGAACATCGGCAAAAATTTAACATTTCTGCTACTTTGAGCTCGGTTTCAAGCTGTTTCCAGTACTTAAACCAATCAAAATCATCTCTATTTCTGTAGCATATCTTCCATTCTATCAAATGAGACCAAGAAATTGTAAATACAACTATAGAAAACATACAAAAAGCACTGCAAAGTCACTGTTTTAATCGAAAATTACGGTCTCAGTTTTTTTTCTCTCATTATGTACTGTGCGCTGCAGGATTTGTTTTATGTGGTACACACATACCACATAGATATATTCTCTCATATCTAGGCCCAGATTTACTGCTCACAGCTTATCAGAGTGAGCTGAGCTCATGGCGTAAATCTACGGTTTGGACTCTGAATGTAAAGCCGTAGATCTTCGGCACGGACCCTGAAAGGGTTAATGCGCTTCAGAGTGACTGTTATTGCATATTATTATTATTATCATTACAGCCTCTCTTCACTTAACGATGGAGTTCCGTTCCTAAGATTGCCTTGGTAAACAAATTCGTCACTAAACAAGGAGCATCCAGTGGACCCTCGCCTAACGAACGCATTGCATAACGTTAAATCTACCTAACGAAGTGTTTGAGTGTAAAAATTTTGCTCCGCCTAACAAAAAACTTGCCCAAAGTGATTCGTCCAGGACCTGTCCACACTGCCCCATGGGTGCTAGTGTTTACAAGCCAGCCAGTGCAGTCGCATCTAGCATACATACATGTGGTACATTTTGCATTATCCCAGTGTTTTTAGTGCTTGTAACTGCAAAATAAGTCACCATGGGCCCCAAGAAAGCTTCTAGTGCCAACCCTGTGGTAAAAAGGGCGAGAATTAGTATGGAATTGAAAAAAGAGATTAAGGAAATGTGTGCAAAGTGGGTTGAACTGCAAACCTTTATGGATGAAAATCACCCTAACACAGCTATTGCAAGCTGTGCTGGTGACCATTACAATGACAATGCTGTGGCCCATTTTAGGCAAATCTTAAGGGAATGTGAGGTACAGAGCTCTATGGACAGATCTGTTGTGCGACAGAGGTCCAGTGACTCTCAAGCTGGTCCTAGTGGCATTAAAAGAAGAAGGGAAGTAATTCCAGAAAAGGACTTGCTACCTCAAGTCCTTATGGAAGGGGATTCCTCTTCCAAACAAAAACAACTTCCCCCATCTCCCCTCCTCCCATCCCATCAATCATCACCAGATCTTCAATAAAGGTAAGTGTCGTGTATTCTTTATTTAGTAGAGTAGTAATTGTGCACGTCTTCTTCTTTTTTGGGTGTATAAAAGTGTATATTTCATGTGGAAATTTTTTTTCATACTCTGGGGTGTCAGGAACAGATTAATTTGATTTCCATTATTTCTTATGGGGAAAATTACTTCGGCTAACGATAATTTCGGCTAACGATGAGATCTCAGGAACGGATTAATATCGTTAGGTGAGGGTCCACTGTACTATAATGGCAGTGGGTTTGTGCCAACCATCTGGTGGAATGATGATGTAAAGAGAGTAGTAAGGGAGAAAAAGTTAGCATATGAGAAGTTTTTACAAAGTAGAAGTGATGCAAGGAGGGAAGAGTATATGGAGAAAAAGAGAGAGGTTAAGAGAGTGGTGAAGCAATGTAAAAAGAGAGCAAATGAGAGAGTGGGTGAGATGTTATCAACAAATTTTGTTGAAAATAAGAAAAAGTTTTGGAGTGAGATTAACAAGTTAAGGAAGCCTAGAGAGCAAATGGATTTGTCAGTTAAAAAAAGGAGAGGAGAGTTTTAAATGGAGAGTTAGAGGTATTGGGAAGATGGAGGGAATATTTTGAGGAATTGTTAAATGTTGATGAAGATAGGGAAGCTGTGATTTCGTGTATAGGGCAAGGAGGAATAACATCTTGTAGGAGTGAGGAAGAGCCAGTTGTGAGTGTGGGGTGAGTTCGTGAGGCAGTAGGTAAAATGAAAGGGGGTAAGGCAGCTGGGATTGATGGGATAAAGATAGAAATGTTAAAAGCAGGTAGGGATATAGTTTTGGAGTGGTTGGTGCAATTATTTAATAAATGTATGGAAGAGGGTAAGGTACCTAGGGATTGGCAGAGAGCATGCATAGTTCCTTTGTATAAAGGCAAAGGGGACAAAAGAGAGTAAGCCATGTGTGTCGTATGAGGCGACTAAAGTGCCGGGAGCAATGGGCTAGTAACCCCTTCTCCTGTAGACATTTACTAAAAAAGAGAAGAAGAAAAACTTTATAAAACTGGGATGCTTAAATGTGCGTGGATGTAGTGCGGATGACAAGAAACAGATGATTGCTGATGTTATGAATGAAAAGAAGTTGGATGTCCTGGCCCTAAGCAAAACAAAGCTGAAGGGGGCAGGGGAGTTTCGGTGGGGGGGAAAAAAATGGGATTAAATCTGGAGTATCTGAGGAGAGTTAGAGCAAAGGAAGGGGTAAAAGTAATGTTGAATGATCAGTTATGGAAGGGGAAAAAAGAATATGAAAGTGTAAATTCAAGAATTATGTGGATTAAAGTAAAGGTTGGATGCGAGAAGTGGGTCATAATAAGCGTGTATGCACCTGGAGAAGAGAGGAATGCAGAGGAGAGAGATTTTGGGGGATGTTAAGTGAATGTATAGGAGCCTTTGAACCAAGTGAGAGAGTAATTGTGGTAGGGGACCTGAATGCTAAAGTAGGGGAAACCCTTTTTGAGAGGGTGTGGTAGGTAAGTTTGGGGTGCCAGGTGTAAAATGATAATGGGAGCCCTTTGATTGAACTTTGTTAGAAAGGGGTTTAGTTATAGGTAATACATATTTTAAGAAAAAGAGGATAAATAAGTATAAAAAATTGAGGGAGGGCGAAATGACAGTAGTTTGTTGGATTATGTATTGGTAGATAAAGACTGTTGAGTAGACTTCAGGATGTTTACATGTTTATAGAGGGGCCACAGATATATCAGATCACTTTCTAGTTGTAGCTACAACTGAGAGTAAAAGGAAGATGGGATACAAGGAGAATAAAGCATCAGGGAAGAGAGAGGTGAAGGTTTATAAACCAAAAGGAGGCAGTTAGGGTAAGATATAAAAAGCTATTGGAGGATAGATGGCAATGAAGCATAGGCAATGGGGTCGAAGAGGTATGGGGTAGGTTTAAAAATGTTTGTTTAGAGTGTTCAGCAGAAGTTTGTGGTTACAGGAAAGTGGGTGCGGGAGAGAAGAGGAGCGATTGGTGGAATGATGATGTGAAGAGAGTAGTAAGGGAGAAAAAGTTTAGCATATGAGAAGTTTTTACAAAGTAGAAGTGATTGCAAGGAGGGAAGAGTATATGGAGAAAAAGAGAGAGGTTAGAGAGTGGTGAAGCAATGAAAAAGAGAGCATGAGAGAGTGGTGAGATGTTATCAACAAATTTTGTTGAAAATAAGAAAAAGTTTTGGAGTGAGGGTTAACAAGTT